AGGCGGAATATGTGGCGTAACTCGCTTCCCTTGGACCTACATAAATCCGCTACGCGCATGAGGATTAAGCCACACTCTTATATCACGCCACTACCAGAGAACAATAGGGTGACGTCGATAAGATAAGGCCCCGCGCCTTCGTCAGAGCGCGAGGCGGCCCGACGTTCATTCCGCCTGCAACCGGCATAGCAACAGGACGCGCGCGCTCCTTATCTCAATTGACTTACATTGTACTCGTAGTTAATTTCACCTTGTAAATTTATTTGTTATGATGAAAAGCTGCTATTCTCAAGCTTCAGCACCAACGAAGAACTGAAGGTGACATTTAAAAAAGGCTATCAAAAATTTTGGCTGCAGAAATTCCACAAAAAATATCCTGGGCTGTGGGAAATTGCAAGAAAATTTTTGATAGCGTTTCCCTCGTCATATCTCGTCAAAGGAAGTTTTAGTGCCGTTACCAACTTGAAAAAAGAGCAAGTCTTATCCAACACTATTCCGATGATATTCAATTATACAGGGTATTTTTGTAACGCTCCTGAAAACGAAAGCAGACTATACAGTACTAACGATACCGTTGACGATGGGACCAGGTTAAAATCGATCCCAATAAAAAAAAAATCACAATGTTTTATTAGCTTTATTCACGCTCCATTATGTTAGTACAGCTATATGAAACAAAATTTCATAAAAGAAATCATGAAAATACTGAAAAATAAAACCAGCAGTGAAAATTAAAATGGTACCAGCTGACTATAGGGTCAATAAACGCGCGGACGCTGAACTCGGTACGAATACGAAACCACGGAATAAATACACACGCGCTGCCAACCCGTGTCGCCCGCAATTTACAAGGCCAATATGTGGAAAATTCTACGACACACGAACTACACAGTACGCATTAGTTTCGGCGGGAATATAATTTTAGCTTTTGAGACAGTTCTGTGTCGACGTGCGCGTGAGCCTCCCATTTATGCTAGCTTATCTATGGCGTAAGCAGTTCAGTTGTTTTGTGTATTAAATTCTTGTTGTTATAACTTTTACTGTTACGTTTAGTGTTTGTTGTTTTGTTTTAAAAATGCCTAACGCGTACGTTTATAGTACTCGTGATTACGGCAACATGTTAATGTGCCTTGGAATGCTGTGGGTGCGTTACGAACTTACCGAGAAAAAATTCCGACTGCTCAACACCCAACTGACTCTCATCTCAGATAACAGCAGCATTTCAGCGAGTGTTGGAAAATCGGCCCATTGCTCCGGTAGCGGCAGGAGGTGGAAGTCAAGTGACTGTTCACTCTGAGGAGCGCATTTTAGTTGTCGTTCGATAGAATCCGAACTTAGGTTCACTAAATTGTTTAGGCGTCGGGATGGAACAAGTGTGTCATACTGTACAGTTCATAAAGCGTAACCGAATGCGACCATACAAAGTGCACAAAGTGAAAGATTTAGTCTCAGGCGATCACGACCGCCGACGAGTTTTTTGCCGTTGGCTATTAGACCAGCAAAAACATGTACCTGGTTTCACTGAGCACGTCATCTGGATGGACGCGTCCACATTTACCAGAAACGGCCTGTGGAACCGAAGAAATACCCACGTGTATTGCGAGGTTAACCCGCACGCTATTCGACCAACCGGGCACCAAACCCGATGGTCAGTTAACGTATGGCCAGGTTTATTTAAGAATCGCATACTGGGACCAGTGTTTCTGCCACAGCGACTTAACGGACAGCGATAACTAAACTTTATAAATGAACAGTTGATTGACATTTTCGACGACCTATCGGTGGCTGAATATCGCCGCACATGGTTCCAGCATGATGGTGCACCTCCACATATCGTGAGGTACGTCCGCGAGCGCCTCACCGAGCTATTTGATGATCGCTGGATCGGCAGACTAGGACCACACGCTTGGCCACCTCGCTCACCTGATCTCACCCCGTTAGATTTCTTTCTGTTTATGTTATGTATACAGAGGGTATGTGAGAGAAAGGGTTATCTAATCGTGAGTGTGATAGTGCTGACGAAATGCGCCAAAGGATCGTGAATATTTTTGACAAATTACGTGTGGACTGTGTCGAAGACCCCACGATAATGTCCTGCCTGCATCAGGAGACGCAACACCGAGCCCATATCTGCCTCGAAATGAATGGGGCACAATTTGAGCCGCATGTCATAAGGCCACGGAGGATTTAAATTGGTAAGCTGTTTAATACCTATTTTTTTAATAATTTAGTTTTGAACTGATGTGAATAGGTACGTAACTGAATTTATCAAAATAATAAACAGCGGTGTGTAGTGTAGGTAACACGATGTATTAAAAAGCATGACTATCTTTATTTAAATTTCATTTAAGTAAATTTTTCATTAGTGGGGAATCGAACCAGGTATTTGATTTATTTAACCTGTGAATTCGAAGTGGGTGCAGACTAGCACAGTGGCAAAACAGTTGATTAAGTGGATAAGTTAGGCATTTAGACAAGTTTTGTAAATTAACAGGTACTGGTACGATGTGGGCTGCGTGTTGGCGTTCGGTGTCGCGCGTTTATTGACCCTTTATCAGCTGATTTCAGGTATTGAAGTTTCATTGCTGGTATTATGTTTAGGTATTTTCATGATTTTTTTAAATGAAATTATCGTTTCATTTAGCTGTTTTAACACGATAGAGCGTGAATAAAGCTAATTAAACGTTGTAAAAAAATGATTAGTTTTGCATCGGGATCGATTTTATTTGAGTCTCATCATCAAATGTATCCTTAATACTATCGTTTGTCTTCATTTTCGGGAGCGTTACAAAAATACCTCGTATACATCATATTCAAAGTCTATGTATCCAACCAAATAACCATAGATAAATTATAATAAAATAGAAGCACTCGGTATCCATACATGTAATAAATAAATAAAAATAACTTTTACGTCAAAATCCAAGACGTCAAGAGTGGTCAAGAGTTTTGGCGGGAACTTGGTCGACGACGTACTGTCGCTCCTGTTTTGTCGTTTGAATAATGTTTTGAAATGGATGTTAATTCGTAAAAGTGATGTGATTTTGTGAATTAAGTGTCTGCGCGTGTGAAAACGACGAAACAAGTGCTTTGATGTCGATATAAACCTCAAGTTATTTTGATCGCTTAGGCGCCTTATGAGCTTGAGTGGCTGTCGACATCAACTGTCCGCTAGGTTGAGTTGTCGTCAAAACCTCCCAAGGGCTTCACAATGTGACGCATTAGCATATTGTGAAGAAAAGAAAAAAAAACGCGGGAACCTTGAAACTGGACTGATAAATCTATATTCTTTCTTTATTCTTTATTTCAGAAATTTTTTTCATAGAGTGGGTTGGTATTACAAAAATAACTTATAAGCTAGGGTTAGTAAATAAATAAAATTTAAAAGGTTATATACTATATTACTATACGCTATCTACTTTATATTTACCAGGTCTCGAGCCGATATGGACGCCGTTCCAGTGCTCCAACATAGGACAGCAATAGCGACTCCCTATCGGTTATGGATTGAAACTTATAAAGATTTTATAATATAAAGAAGACTTGGCTTTAGCCTTTGTGGTTTTTGAAAATATAAAGAATTAAAGAAAATAAGACTTGGCTTCGGCCTTTATGGATTTTGATGAGATGGAAAAAAAGAAAAATAAGACTTGGTTCCGGCCTTTACACTTCAAAATTCTATATATTTAAATTAAAAAAAAAAGACAAGGCTGTATGGCTTAGTTCCTTTGCCTGCTCTTTTGAGCGAATAATAAAACAACAACAACCATACAACCAAAGTAGGGATGATCGATGTTACAGAAACATCGATGATGACATCGATGTTAATATCGATAGTTTAACATCGATGTTCGATGTTTATCCTACTCAAAACATCGATGTTGGCCGTTATCGATGTTATAGCACATGTTCCTATTTAGTAGAATGAGATGTACAAAAAATTTGTAGTGTTGTTTATGGTTTATTATTTATGAAACTAAATAAATTAATAACACATTCATTGTGAAACAGTAATTTAAAAATGGGAAAAACTTAACAAATATTTAGTTAATTTGTTATATTTTTTGCCGATAATGATGAATATTATGATTTTGATATTTAAATGTTCCTATACAATTATAAATCTATGATTTACTATCCTAATTTACAATTTAGACGTAGGTTTTATATTAACTACTGATAGCGCGAAATAAAAAATGATTATAGAGGAAAAATTAACATACTTCACAAAAACAAAATAATGGACTTTTTCGTTACCTTTGTTCACATAATTTTTAATCAGGCAGCCCAGGCAATAAGTGTCCACAGCCGTTTATAAAATTCACTGTAGATTGCACTTTGCAGTGAAATTGTCTATGCTCACGATTGCCCAGTGATTTATTCTCATAAACTTCAAGCAAACCATAAACTTATTAAATTGTGTAGATACATATTGTTTCGAAATTATGTGTGAATAGACAGCAAGGGAAAAATAATTAATTTGAATATCAATTTATGTCGAATAGTTATTAGGCGACAGCCGATAACGACACCACAATAACAAAGCGAAAGCAGTTACAACAGTGACATTACAGTTCACAATCGACGGGGAGTTTGACACAACATAATGATAGTTTTTTAGGTGATCGATGCATTTAGGAATCCTTAATTATTCAAAATTTTAAACCTTTAATAGGAGATGAAATATTTAGTTAATATTGATTTCGCGGGTTCGCATAGTTCACAAGTTCTTATTATATATAGGCGATTATTGGTTCATTGACATCGATGTTTGACATGTGGCACCATCGATGTTTCGATGTTTAACGTGTGGTAACATCGATGTTAAAACATCGATGTTTCAATTTCTAACATCGATGATCATCGAACATCGATGATCATCGAACATCCCTAAACCAAAGTCAAAAATCAAAACAATACGTTGTCATGTGTGGTGTTTAGATATTGGTTATTCTTATTTAAATTAATTAAAGTTAAAGTTTATTATATTATTCATAAAAATGGGGACTACAGGACAGTCAATTACATTAGCTAATAGTATTATTGGAGTCGGCATTCTTGCAATGCCTTTCTGTTTTCAACAAGTAAGTTTTATCCATCTGTTTAGGTATAAAGCCTGCTTCTTCTTCTTCTTCTTTCTTTTGTGGCGGTTTGATAAAATTCGCCAATGACGTATTGAGTAGAAAATGAAAGCTTATGAGTTTAATTAAAATAAGAGTCTGTGATAATACAAGGATTCAGTTTTCCTCCGAGAATTTTGACAAATCTATTTGTTGAATTACCTAGAACAAATATGACAAACACAGGTGTTAGACTCTTACCCGTATGTTAAAAGTGACAAGGATTTAAAGTTTCATATTATTAGTATTAATAAAATCACATAAAATATACACAAAAGGAGTACTGGTATATGTTAAAAGAGAATTAAAATCTATAGGTCGAGGAATATAAGGAGGAAGGTAATCATAAAGGGAGGAGGATAATTTGGGACAGTTGAAAAAAATATGGTTTGTGGAACCTTCATCTAAGCCACATTCACACAATGAGCTATCCCTTACTCTGATTTTTGCCAGATGTGCATGTGTACAGGCGTGTCCAATTCTTAATCTACAAATGATTGAAGTTGCATGTTTATTTGCTTTGTTAAATTTAAAGAACCAAGGCTTGGGAGGAATAACCTCTTGGATGGCAGCATAGTGCTTACCTTTAACATTTTTGGAAACTTCCCATAATTTATTCCAATTTTCATTCAGTTTCCTTTTAGCTAGCAAAATTAGGTCATGTGAGTAAATTAAATTTTGTAGAATGCCATTAGCAATTGCATTTTTAGCGAGTACATCAGCTGTTTCGTTACCATGGATACCACTGTGGCCTGGAATCCAGGCCACTGAAACATGGATTCCTTTAAGATGGCATCTGAATAGGGTATTTTTTATTTTAAGAATTAGTGGAAACTTATGTTTGTTATGGAATTGATTGGACAAAATAGCTAACAAACAACTTTTTGAATCTGTGAAAATAACTGTTTTATTAAGATTATGTGACTCTACATATAACAAAGCTTCACTGATTGCAGTTGCTTCACCAGTAAAAGTGGAGGATAGTGAGGGGCATTTAAAGTTAAGAATGATTTTGAACTTAGGAATCCAAACAGCAGCTCCAGTATAGTCTTCATCAGAATGTTTTGAAGCGTCTGTGTACATGACAAGCCAATCTTTAAAGGTGTTTTCTATAATTTCTTTTAATTTCAAATTTGCCATTGGAGAATCCTTTTCTATACCTAGATCTAGATGAATGTCGGGTTGGTAAACAATAGCCTCGTAAGGAACATCAAAGAGTGGATTTATTTTGCATTGAAAGATTGGGTAAGGAAGCTGAAGAAAAATTACAAAACTTTTAAACAAGCAGGGAGAGTCCTTATGGGTCCAGTATCGGTCAGATGAGATATACTCTGAAAGAAGGTGCAATTTAGGAATTAGGGGATGATCTGAAAGTTGGCAGATCTTAAATAAGAATCTGTCTGAAAGGTATTGCCTTCTTAATCTTAAAGGAGGATCTACGCACTCAACCTGAAGAACATTTATTGGTGAGGATTTCATTGCCCCTGTAATAATGCGAAGGCATTTCGATTGAATTTTGTCCATTACTTTAAGGGATGATTTATTGCAAGGCTCCAACAGAAAACATCCATAGTCAAGGTGGCTTCGTATTAAAGCATTGTACAGTAATTTCTGAGAAAAAGGATGGGCCCCCCACCAAACACCTGACAAAGACCGAAGAATATTTATGTTTTTTTCGCATTTTTGTGTTATATATTCAATGTATGGACCGAAGGCCAATTTCGAATCAAGGATAACTCCCAAAAATTTAACATTGCCTCTAACTGGAATAGGTTGCTTATCATATACAACAGATATATCGGGAACTCGCCTTTGGCGGGAAAAGATCACCACACTACTCTTGGCCACAGATAAAGAGAGGCCATGATTAGTTAACCATTCTTGTAAATAATCCATGGATGAGTTTAGACGGGAACATGCCACTGTGAAGTTGTTTGAGGAGATGTATAGAGCTAAATCGTCTGCATATTGAAGAACATTACAAAAAGAATTTACTGAAAGTTCTAAATCGTGAGTATATATAGAATAAAGGAGAGGACTAAGAACTGAGCCTTGTGGAAGTCCTTTCCATATAGTTTTTGGGGGAAGCAGGAGATTTTTAACATTTATAGATATTGATCTAGAAGAGAGAAAGTTAGAGACGTAATTGACTATCCTCACTGGAATGCTCAGATTAAGCATTTTCTGCCTGAGCACAGGAAGAAGCACATTATCATATGCAGAAGAAATATCCAAGAAAACTCCTATGAGAAATTCATGTTTTGAGAAGGCAATATGAATATCTGTGACCAAGGTACTTAGGCTATCCATGGTGCTTAAACCTTTTCGGAAACCGAATTGGCTTTTAGGTAAGAGATTATTCCTTTCCAAAAACCACTCCAAGCGATTTTTTATTAAATGTTCCAAGATTTTTGCCAAAGTACAAGATAGGGCAATAGGTCGGTAACTGGAAGGGTCATTGCTAGACTTACCTGGTTTGAGAATGGGCAAAATAATTTGGGTTTTCCATTCAGCAGGAGGATCACCAGTAATATAAATAAAATTTAAAATGGATAGTAAGACAGTTTTAGTGTTCTCACTACTATTAATTATAAACGAATAAGGAATCCCATCAATACCTGGTGAGGAGTCTTTAAGGCCATTGAGTACAGTAAACAATTCCTGAGAAGAAAAGGGGGAATCAAATTTATCATTTGTTTTTAAAAAAGCAGAATTAAAAACTAGGCATTCATCATAAGATGGGACTGTTTGTGGTGCAAGTTTATTAGAGAATTCATCTATCCACGGGGAAGGATCATTAGAAATTATATTTTCACTAGAAACTGCACAGCGATATTTTTTAACATTTCTCCAGACCAAAGATGGGGGAGTCCTAGGTGACAGTGACTCACAGAATTTAAACCAACCAGTTCGCTTTTTTGTCTGACAGTAATTTTAAGGTTTCTGCAGCAATTTTTTTATAAGAGATATAATTCTCTGCAGTCATAGAACGGGAGTATATTAATTCAGCCTCTTTTCTTCTCCTACAAGCTGCTGAACAATCTTGGTCCCACCAAGGAGGGGAGGGATAATTATTTTTGAAAGGTTTTTTTAAGGGGATTGACTTATTAGCAGCAGAAATAATTGCATTTCTGAACTCTATATATACAGTAGCAATATTATCATTGTTAATTGGGGGGAAGAGTTGAAACCTCTTGTTCCAAGACTTTAGAATATAATTGCCAATTAGCTTTGGATAGATTATACTTTAGTCTTGGGCAAAATGTAAAATTTATTCTAGGTGAAGTAGGAGGAGTGATGAATATAGGAAAATGGTCACTGCCATAGCTAGAAGGTAATATTTGTCACAAAAGAAGGGAAGCAATATCTGGAGAGCAGAGAGTTAGGTCAACGGCACTTCTAACATTTTGTAATGGGGATACTCGACGGGTAGGAGACCCATCATTTAGAATACAGAGATTAAAATTATCAATAAGATCTAAAAATAAGGGAGCCAGTGAATCACACAGATGGGAGCCCCAAACAGTATGATGCATATTAAAATCTCCCAAAATAACCATAGGAGGTGACAGAGAAGAGATAAGTGTTGCAAGTTCTGTTAAAACATTTACATCAGGATTAGGAATGTAAACAGAGAGAATAGAGACATCAAGGGCCTTAATAGCAACAGCATTTACTGCTGGACTATGAGAAGGGAGAGGAATTTGTGAAAATGTAACAGTTCTTGAAATTAAAATAGAGGTGCCAGCACGACCATCACTCCTATCATCCCGGAGGCATGCATAGCCTGAAACCCTAAAATGAGATTCAGGCCTAAGCCATGTCTCCTGGATGGCAAGAATGAAGGGATGAAATTTGTTAATGAGGTAAATGAGTTCATTTTTTTTATTTCTAATACTCCGACAATTCCATTGAAGAATTGGCGGGACTGCGAATGTTACGGGCTAAGGAGGAAAGCTGAGTAAGTTTTTGGTGTAAGCTGAGAGGAAGTTCCGTGTCACTAAAACGGGAGATCATGTTAATTAGAATTGATATCATAAGTTCGCAGAAATTATCATTACTAGAGGAGTTGTTGTCATTTCCCAGTAGAGCACACCCATTAGGAAGGGAAGAATTAGGATTCTCAACAATTGCTTGATGGGCTGCCATATCATATCCAGAATTTAATGGTGGGCTGCGGGTACGTTGAGGGATAAAAATTGTTTTTTTATATGATGCAGTTTGTGAGAGCTGAGCCGAAGGGGTTGAAAGACTGTCAGTTATAGTATAAGGGGTCTGTTGAGAACAATTACGAGGCTGGATTCTTGTTGTATCAGCAAAGGATCTTTTTGTCTGAGGGAATCTAGCTGAAGCTTCTAAATATGAAATATTTTCTTGTGACATAACAAGTTTAATAGATTTTTGCCTTAGATGTTCAGGACATGTAGGGTCTTTTGCGGTGTGGGGACCAGAGCAGAATAGGCAAGTAGGAGTTTGTCGAGTACAAGATAAACCTTCATGATTCTGTGCACATACAAAGCAGCGAGGAGATGATCGGCACTGGGAAGTAACATGGCCATATCTACAGCATTTATGACACTGAATTAGTGGCAAAACATATTTTTCCACTGGCATTGAGGTGTAAAAACAGTAAATATGGGGAGGAAGTTTTTGTCCAGAAAAAGTTAGAACAACCGTCTGAGTTGGAACCCATGAAACGCTATTGCTGTCACTCACTGATCGTCTATTAAGTCGCCGTGCTTTAATTATAGAACCGTATCCAGAGGGAATTTCTATAGCTGCTATTAATTCTTCTAGTGTCCACTCTATGGGAACTTGTCTAACTAGCCCCATACGAGTGATACTATATGAGGGGATGGTTGCTTCATATTTAGAAATTTGGAGAGCTGGGTGATCGATAAAGTTGTTTGCATCTGCAGCTGATTTAAACTCCACGGATATTCTATTTCGTCCAACTTTTTTGACTCCATCATGGACTATATTTTTAATATTGTTATGATACAGAAAGTGGCCGAATTTAATTGGTTTAAGAGTTACTCCAGACAGCTGATCATTTGAGATTTTACTTACGTGAACTAGAAAAGGAGCGGCATCATCTTGAGAGTACTTAACTTTTTTATTAATAAAATCAGGATGGGTATATGAGGATTGTATTGAAGGAAACTGTTGATTTGGATCAGTAATAACTATTTTTTGTGGATGGGCAGACTCGTTACTTACTTGGGCACGTTTACGTTTAATTAATTCTACATTATCAATGTTAGTGGGTAAGGAAAAGGAATCATTGCGAACCCTTCCGGGATCGGGAGGTTCGTCCTCCATTATATTACTACAACAAAAAATTACATAAAAACGGCACAACTACAAACACTTACTAATTTACAGATATTATAACCTCCACCAAGACAGAAAAATTTACTATGGTAAATCAACAACACTTAATAAAACAATAAATTTTAAGCAAAAAAAGGCACGACACTTGTATCTCTCACTTCCTCCGAAAAAAATATATAAAGCCTGCAATACACGCAAATATTCTTCCTAAAATGCAGTATACGCTTTAAATAATCTTTAAAGCATGACTACCATATCTATTTAGATATACATTTTTTAAATATTAGCAAGTTTACATACATTTGACTGCTTATCTTTGGATAATGTTTTAAAGTAAGAAATATTTGCACAAATTGATTAGTTTATGAATAATTTTTTTTTAGTGTGGAGTATTGCTTGCTACGGTAATTCTTCTGTTGATGGGATTTGTATCTAGATTGTGCTGTTATTTCTTACTAAAATCTGCTATAATAACCCGAAGAAGAACATTTGAATTTTTAGGTAAGCAGTACATTAATTATTAATCATTTAAATTTCATTGTAATTTGTGGCGGTGTACCATCTCATATGTTTTTATGTGGTAGAGCCACGCTGCAGCTATATTTATTGTGTAGTTGTAGCACAAATGGATCGGCTCAACTGGGGAAGGACCACACTCACAGAATGGCAGCTTAATGCTTCTGTGTTTCGTTTGGTGCGTCTATAGAACTGAAGACCCTTTTTACTAGAAAAGAGTCATTCAATCTTAGTCTTCACTGTTGACAATGCATCTGCATTTTGATTCGCAAGTGAGGATGGATGATGATAGAGGAGAAATCTAGTCTATGGGCCACAGCAACCACTTACTATCAGGTGGACTGTGTGCTCGTTTGTTACCCTTATCCTATAAAATTAAAGTAAAGTTACAGCCTATAAATGTCCCATTGCTGGGCAGAGGCCTCCTCACATTTCTGAGAGGGTTAGTTTAGTAGGGCTGTTTTTCGCCACTCCACATCTCTGCGCATATTTTGCATGTGGGCAAGAATATTGTGAATTAATCGAGCCATGGACTCTCCCCGAAGAAGTTTAACAGTCCTTTGAAGTTGTGAACAACTTCAACGAGCGATCCCGGCGTGCCGAGATATTTAGCCCTGTTATTTGTTTTGTATGTTTATTTCCTCCTCCCCCATACATGCCCTACACAGGGGACTATCTGTAACAACTATAGTAAATAAATGTTTGTTAAAGGAGCCATGTTCTGCAATAGCACTTTTGCCATCTTGATCTGTGGCTTGTTCAATCTCATTAAGGCCTTGGTTATACAACTGTTTAATTCTGGTAGCTTAGCTCCCTAGCTTGACTACAGTCCACTAGATTTTTCCAAAGCCGAGCGTGTTGATTATTAAAGTTTTTACATACCAGTGAACAAATGTTACCAAAAGGGATTGGTATAATCAGTTCCGGCCCTATAATGACTATAGGCAATCCTCTCCTGGCCAGTTTGTCTGCTGCGTTGTTGCTCCTGATTCCATTGTGTCCCTTGATCTGTTGCAGAGTCATTCTCATTGTTGTGTTTACATACCTCATTTAATCATTGATGGCTCTTATATATAGGTCCGGAGTTTACTACATTGCAACTGGAGTTTGTAGTACTGCTATACTGTCAGTCAGTATTCTGATGGAGAAGTCTTTTACCTTCATGGCATCTATTACTACGGCCGCATGGATGATACCCATTTATTCTGCCTGAAAAACTATGTTGTGGGTAGTGTATATATGTGGATATTGAGGTCTTTCGACAAAGTTCCAGATCCTACACCTTCATTTGTTTTAGAATCATCTGTGATAACTCTAAGCTCAAAAGTTAGAGATTAAGGCCAATTGAGCCCCCACCCACTTGCGTAATTGAGCCGACGCAGTTTCACTGTGGTGGAGGTTGACCTGCACCAGGCTAGTTCTGGACACGGAAAGGGCATGCCATCATTGATCACGTCTTCCTCGTCCCTGCCCAAAAATAAGCCTCTCATCATCTCAGCCACCGAGTCGGAATTGGATGGCAAAATGCAGTCCACTTCATCACTCAGTGAGCTGCCGCTGAGCCCAATATCCACTGGTGGCTTCGGTTCGGTTGTGCAGGCATCGGTAGCCATGGCCCCGGTATCCATTACTCCTGGATTGTTAAATGCACCTTTGCTCGATAGAGTATCAAAGAATTTTCCACAACCCTGGAATTTTACGTTAACGACGACGTAAACGAGACGGCGTTCGGCTTTCGTCAGGGTCGCGACATGATTCCCCAGCACGGAAACAATGAGGAACCACCCATTTGTCTGCTTATCACCCTTGAGTGATAGCCAATCCTTGATGTTAACCCAGCGGTTCTGGTACGCTAGCATACAACCAATGTCGCGTGAGTCTTTCCAGGCCCCCTTGGCATCAGGGATAGGGATACCACACTTTATTCTCTGTGGTATCTCTGACTGTTTCTTGATGATCAGCAAGGTGTTGGATTTAGCAAAGTCGAGGGTAGCAATGTTACCTTTTAACCAATCCAGAGCCTTCTGATCATCGCACCACAGTTTCAGGACACGCTCAGTGTAAACGGGTTTGCCTCTAAAACTGGGTCCCAGTGGCTACTCCAGGCCTCGCTGATCCTCTTCTTCTGTATTGCCACAAGGATGTTGTCAGCTACTTCGTTATGTAACCTGAACGCGCACACGTTAAGATCACATCCAAATCTACTTAAGTAACGGAATTGTAGCTGGATCTTGCAGCCTTTGGTTGCTGTTTGAGTCACACTTGTTTGTGCTCTCCTATCGGCGAGGACTCTTCCAGCATCCTTTTGGCTACTCTTTCCTTCTTATGCTTGATGCTTGGCTGCTCGGTGCTTCCTGACGGATATCTTAGAGTTGGTTCCTGCGGCTGCTAATTCCTCTTGGGCTGGATTTTCATTCTTCCCAGTTTCAGCACAGCTACTAGATCCAGCCCAAAGCACTGAAGCCACAGTAGCTTGACCAGCTTCCTTGGTGTTGCTCTTAGAAGCAGCCAGCGCAGCCATTTCTCTACGGCCTTTTTCCCGCTGCATCGTATTCTTTTTCTTGTCATCATATTCTATTCTTTTTCTTGCCTTTACACCACTGCCTGCTGATGGCTGATGCACACCACTTGATGGTCCGTCAGGTCGGCAAGTCACCTTTTTGGGTGCCTTGACCTTCCCTTTTGCGGCTCACCACTTGCCAGGCAGCAGAGAAAATGTTGTCCGTTCTCTGGAGCTCAGGAGGAGTTTTGCTATTCGCGGTCTCTTGCTCCTTTCTCATGTCCAGCTTCTCAAGTTTGGAACTGGTTTTGGGAACACCCAGCGCGGAAATTGCAACTTTTGGTGGGGCCACCTACGCTGGATGGTGTAGTTCGTGGAACTTCGTTCGTGGTTTCTTCCTTGTACCTTGGTGTCTCTGGTAAGCACCTAATACCTCTCCCTCTTTTATGATGAGCCTTCCTGTTGACGATTCGTCCCCCGGCTTCCCATCCCCAATGGATCCCGCACCTCTGGGAACGCTCTACTTTAAAATAAAAAGAATATCAGGCGTAAGAAATACCAGTAGAATATAGGGACACGACGTTGGTTCACAGCGCGTCATTGGGACATAGATCCAGCTGGCAGATAGGGCTGAAAAGGCCCATCCCCGCTGGTCGAATAGACTGTGACTTGCTCCATCAGCATGGCCTTTACCACTACCTAGCCCTTTTTAGGGACACTAGGTAGCCCCCACGTCCCTCCCGCGCGACCCTCTGACGGAACGCTTGGCCATTTTCCTATCTGTGATTAGCAGATATGGCCACCGTTTAGCTTGAATTCCGGACCAAAGAGAGCATGTTGCTTCTCACCACTATATACCTCAGTGACGATCGGCTCAACCCTCCAGGACTCCTTCATCCCCGCGTATTGTGCTCAACTGTGCAGGTCCTAGCGCAGGTGGGTGTGTTACTCCACCGGATATACCCACTCTTCGGTGGAACTCTTCAGTCTTGAGACCGGCTGCAACAAAAAGTATAGGCCGAGTTTTCTGAGAGAATTTTAGGGCAAGAAACTGTCCGCCGCGCTGTACCAATGTGGCGTGTAGGCGAACTTCACACATTATCAATATTTATTTTTCTCAGACATGCAGGTTTCCTCGCGATGTTTTCCTTGCCGCCGAGCAGGTGGTAAATCAGCATTCAGTACTTACAATTGCAATAAACAATTTCATTGGCGCCAGCAGGTATCGAACTCGGGTTTTTCATACACTGTAAAATTTACAGTGAGCGCTAACCATCAGAACTACCATGGCTCAACATCTCATATATAAAGGATAAAAATTACTTTGATGATGACCGAAGAGAATATAATCTTTATGTTGAATGGTGACAGAGATTAGCATCGAGACATATGGCACTACATTTGCTAGAATGTTTACCAAGTCTGTGTGATAAATGCAAATCCTTTTGATTGAATAAATTTTAATAATGTTACTTATAATCTAAATTTATCATAAAATGTCTATTCACCGTCATCAGACTATAATTAAACTTGCAGACATCTGAAGATTGCAGGTTAGTGTCCTGTCACGGTCGCCATATGATGTAGGAAAGGTGTCAATGAAGGATGAGGCGTGTTACTCTTGCTATGACTTTAATTTTTTATAGGATAAGGGTGACAAACGAGCATACAGTCCACCTGATGGTAAGTGGTTACTGACATACCCATCTATCCTCGATTATGAATCAAAATTCAGATGCATTGTCACCTGTGAGGAATAAGATGGATTGCCTTGTTTCCAGTAAAAAGTGTTTCCGGTTCTCTACACTCACCATTACAATGCTCAATTATTCTACTTTAACAATAATATATATTAATGTGAGGGCTACACTATGCTACAGCAGTACCACTTGCAGTTTTGATGCCATTGTTGGTTTTATTTAGGTTGGGTATATCTAGGATGTTTCTGGAATTTTCATGATTTATTATTTCCTGTATAGTGGTGAGGTAAGAAATCCACTACCCCCTATCATCTCATGAGAATTATGAAATGTGACAGAGGAGATGCTTTTGAGCTAATAATTAAAAACTATGGCGTATGCCCCCTGAGAGACAATCTATAAGAGAGGTCTATAACACTTTCATTATTTGGTTATGAGGCAAAACAGTAAGACAATAGCAATGACCCCTATGTGGGTCACGTGACAGTAGACATGTTAAGCTGTGGACTTACTGATAGGCTGCCAAAAACGAAAATTCATTAATGGTTGAATGGGTTGTAAAGTGGGATCATGTGATGGCAGAGACTCCCTTTTATATCACCACCACCACAAGAAAAATAATTCAATGTTATTTCATTTTCCAGCATTCCATGTATTTGGGTCAGCAGGCAAGCTGGCTGTGGAACTTGGTATCATAGGGTTTTTAATGGGCACTTGCATAGCTTACTTTGTGGTTGTCGGAGACCTTGGGCCACAGATTATAGCTAAGATGCTAAATATTAATCAGAGTGATATTTTAAGGTAAGTTTCTTTCTTTTGTAAATGTTTATTGTAAAGGAATATACTTAACACATATAATGCCGTACTGACAAATGAACTAAATTTTTTTTTTGTAAAATACGTTCGTAGAATGTGAGGAATGTCTTATTTCACTATTTTCGCCACATTTTACATATTATAATAGTAAAATAAATAAATAAATAATGGTGGCAGCCATATATGGCTGACGCGGCGCCACTGTAATAAAATTCACAATGGGGCGGTCAACCATTTTGTCAGCCATTTGATTTCAAAAGCGCGCGAAACGAGCGCGTTTTGATTTGGATGGGGATAGTGAAACTACCCCAACTATCTTTGTACTGGAGCACTAACAAATGTTTTGAACAACAATTTGTTAAGTTCATTATGAGCCGAAATCGATTCGAACTCATATTGAGGATGTTGCACTTTGCCAATAATGAAATAAATCACAATAAGGACGACCGATTGTTTAAAGTTAGACATTTATTAGACATGCTGAATGCTAATTTTAAATGTCATTATACACCTAATCAAGAAATGTGTGTTGACGAAAGTCTAATCCCATTTCGTGGCCGCGTTATTTTTAGGCAATACAATAAAAATAAGCGACACAAATATGGAATAAAACTTTTCAAGCTGTGCTCAAATCCAGGATACACTGTAAAAGTGCAAGTTTATGCTGGCAAAAACTATGATAGTGTGAATACTACACCGACTAATGTTGTCCTTGCCTTATGTGACGATTATCTAAATAAAGGACATACTCTGTGCACAGATAATTGGAATACAAGTTTGGATCTAGCACGAAAACTATTAGCAGGACAAACTCACCTCACAGGCACACTTAGAAAAAATAGACGAGGTTTACCTCAAACAGTTGTCCAAACCAAACTCAAGACAGGAGAATTCTCAGCTCAAGAAAATGACGACGGAATAACAATCATGAAGTGGAAGGACAAGCGGGATGTACTGCTGCTGTCTACTAAGCACTCCGTTAGTTTCAGAAGAATAACTAAAAAAGGAAAAGAAAAAGTAAAACCGAAGATTGTGCTAGATTATAATCACGCGAAATCAGCAGTTGATCTGTCAGACCAAATGTCCTCTTACATGACCCCTCTTCGGAAGACAACGAAATGGCCCAAGAGATTGGCGATGGAGCTATTACTGAATACAGCGATTGTAAATTCATATATTTTATATAAATTAACAACCAAGAAGAAGCTCTCTGTCGTCCAGTTTAGAACCGCGTTGGTTGAATACCTCGTGAATACAGGAGTCCCGGAAACTAGAGCCTCCGCTAGACCTAGGCGAGTAAAGCATGAATTGAAGAAGAAGCAAGGGTTGGCCTCTGCCTGTCGTAAATATTGTGTTAGGTGTTATAAAGAAAACTGTGCCCAATTCGGAAGAGTTCATGCTCGAAATAAAACCAAAAGAGTGGTAACATACTGCGAGGATTGCCCAAATGAGCCACACTATTGTATCAACTGTTTCAATTTAGACCATAGATATGTTTGAGTTAAACGTGTTTGAACATTATGATTGATGTAGGTTTGATTTATTATGTTGCCAATGCCAATTTAAATATGAATAAAAGCATTTAAAACATTTACCCACACGTATCATTTGCAAAAAGCTAACCATTTTTCTTATCACTCTTTTGTTTTCGAAACTTCTGATTACAAAATTTATATTACTCAAAATGTAAGTAAAAGTATTGATGCCATCACTATAGTTATAATTTATCAGGCCTTGTCAACCATATTACATACAGTTTAATATGAAAAACGTGGCTGACGACGAAAAATCGCACTTTCAAAACATGCATATTTCGTCAGCCACATATGGCTGACACGGCTCAATTGGTTTGAAAAATGTCAGCCATATGTGGCTGATGAGGCATTATATGTGTTAAGTAATTCACAGTGTGTACAGAGGCAAAGCTTCTAAGGAACTTTATTTTTTTTTTAATTTTCATCTATTTTGGTAGGATTGGCACAGGAGGATTATATAAAATAAACAAAACGTTTTTAGCTTTTTATTATGTACCTAGAATATTTCTTTTACAAACTGCTTTCTCTAAATGTTTTATTTATTTATATTTTGTTTTTGAATAATTTGTTGTGCCTTTAAGTTGGAAGATAAATTTTAAATGTAATATAAAGGCTTTTTCTCAAATAATTTAATAGAAATTACTCACATGGCCATATACAAGCTTGCACATGTTTTAATATATATATATATATATATATATATATATATATATATATATATATATATATATATATATATATCATATCATTAACGAATAATTAATCGATCATTTAAATATTGAGTCTCAACACGTCGAGAAATTTTTGCAATTTAAAAAATGCTAAATTTATTAACATATACAGGTGTTTTTGAAATGCTCCCTAAAACGAAGACAGACAATAATACTAAGGATAACTTTGATGATGGTGATGAACGTTTGATTAGCTTTATTCACGCTCTATCATCTTAGTACAGCTAAATGAAATGATAGTTTCATTAATAAAATCATGAAAATACCTTAACATAAAGTACCTAAAATCTAGTTAACAAGGGTCATTGTACGCGCGACGCCGAATCCGCTTGGCCCGCAGTCATGCATGCATAGTATATGCATATGCAATATGCAGGCATGAGTAGATAAACGGAATTATCTACTCATGTGCTGCCCGCGATCGAACCTATACCTAATAATTTACAACACGTCTAAATACTTAACTTATCTACTTAACCTACTATTTTCTATTTTGCCAGTGTTAGGCTTCACCCAGCCACTTTAATTCAAATTCATAGGTTAAATAAACCAAGTAGCTGGTTCGATTCCCCGCTTATGAAAAATTTACTTAAGTTATCTATCGTGTAGGTATGTTTATTATTCTGTTTTATTTATTTATGTACCTATTCATATCACATCAGTACTAAATTATTTAAAAGAAATAGGTATGAAACAGCTTATCGAACTAAATCCTTAAATAAACCTGCGTACGTAAACCGACTATTGGGTTTGGTGCTTGGTTTGTCAAACAGCGTGCGGGTTAACCTGGGAATACACGTGGTATATTTCTTCGGTTCCACAGGCCGCTTCTGGTAAATGTTGACTTGTCGGTCCAGATGACGTGCTCAATGAAACCAAGTACACATTGTTGCTGGTCTAATAACTAATGACAGAAAACCTGCCGGCAGTCGTGATCGCCGGGAACTAAAGCTTGCACTTTGTACGTTTACGTTAGGCTGCTATTTTACGCTGGTCTTCTTTGAGAGCGTGGTCCTTCCCCGTTCGAGCTGACCTATTCATGTTACAACCATAATAGCTGCAGCGTCGCTCTAACACGTATAAAATTCTATGTCTATTAGTAGGGACTTAAACTTCACTAAAGCTAGATGATGATATTTCATGCTTTTAATACATCATTTTCAGGACATCTATTATGGTGATAGTGTCGCTGGTGTGTGTGTTACCACTCGGTCTGTTGAGAAATGTAGACAGCCTGAGCAACGTCAGTGCGGCTACAATATGCTTCTATTTCTGCTTAGTTATTAAAGTTAGTATTAGCAACAGCTTTCTATGTTTCTCTTCCATTCTACTTTATCAGCCGTCAAGAAGTAAGTAATGAGTTGATGGCTGATAAATAATAATATATCTATAAATGTAAAGTTCATCATCATCATAATTCAGCCCTTCACAACTCCACTGCTGAACGTAGGTTTCCTACAAGGAACACTACGAAACATGGCCCTGAGCCACCTACATCCATCGACTCTTGTATTTCTTACCACTTTAGCTGAATGATGTGGCGGGCTATGTCAGTTACTCAGCTGCGGATGTCCTCGTTACGAAGTTTATCATGCTTAAAACTTTGAGCACACTGCTCTCCATAGCTCACTGAGAATTTCTGAGAGACCTTAGTTTACTCATATGACCAGCAATGAAAGACCACTTCGTAGATCGATATGGCGAAGATTTTAAAGTATATGAGACGAAAAGATGTGTCGTAATCTCTTGAACGCTGCCCAGCCGAGAATGATCCGTCGATTGACCTCTAGGTCGAACTTGGACTTACCTAGTCAATCAATTTATTCTAGGTAAACATACATACATTGTCAACAATTTAGAGTGTAGTGCTCTCAACAATTACAATATAGGTGTAAAATGGATATTACACATGACCTTTGTCTTATCCATGCTCATTTTAAGACCTGTCTGCTGGTATTGAGCACAGTGCTGAAGTCCCCAGCGATTCAGTCATAATGGTTATAACATTGGCAAATCTAAGGTGAGTGAATCTAAAGTGAGTGACTTTCCGTTGCTGTTGATACCACATCCTTTCCAGTACAGTAGTTCCTCTCAGTTTTGAGAAGAATAAAGAGAAATTTGTCTACAACGCTGCTCTAGTGCGTGTCGGTGGACTTCCATGTCCTCGAAATAGGTTATTTCTAAGACATGCAGGTTTCCTCTCTGTTTTCTTCACCGTGGGAAATCAGCACTTAAAATTGCAACTAAAAATTTAATTTGTGCCGGCACGTGTCGAGCCTGGGCTGCTCGTACCCATTTTGTCTAATTTGTTGTTATCTTGAATTTGTATGTTCTTTTAAAAACGTTACCATATTAGGATTTTCTCCTATATTGTGGGGACAGGTTACAAACATAAATTTTACAAGTACAAACATCCAGTCCCGTAACAATTTGTCGGCCACACATATCCTTTTTTCGTGCAGGATTCGAACCCGCGGCTCTTAGGGCTGTAAATCATTACTAAGCTAGTGTGTCACGCAGCTGTCCTAGTCCTAATAATGAGTTGACTTACCATTTGTTAATTGTGTTATATTTTTGTTCAGGTAATCCTAGAAGCTACATCTCAATTGCTAACTGCCGACTGGCATATACGGATTGAGACATGGAAACCTTCGGGAGTTTTGCAATGTGTTCCCATATTCTCCATGGCTCTTTTTTGTCAAACGTAAGTGGAATATCAATTTGTAGTCTTAAGAAAAAGTGCATAAAACATGAAATCACTTGACTACAAGTATACCTGATGATAATTCATCGTCATCATCACCATTACATCCATTTACAAGTTCACTGCTGAACCTCCTCCAAGGAATGCCACAAAGCACGGTCCTGGGCCACATGCATCCATTGACTTCTTGCATGTCTTCCCAGGTTGTCACACCATCTAGTGCTAAGAACCTCCACCGGAGATTCTTAGCACCCCCTACCCCGCCGTTACCATGGTCGCCACCGTAGCCAGGAATAGCGGGGCCGCCGGGGACTGGGGGCCGTCTATTTGTGTAATTCTTCATGGGGGGTATATTGCCATAGTTGCCACGCTTGGCGAGCGGGTGGCAACCGCAGTTTTTTGTTGTACAGTTGCTGTTATCAGGAAGATGCCCATCTCCTGCCTGTTTCCCTCTGTCGCCTTTTACGACACCCACGGGAAGATATGGGGTATTGGATATTCTTAACCGCCACTACACGGCAAACATACCCCAGGTAAACATACTTGTCAAGAACTTTGAGATGAGTGCTTTCAACAACTACACATGATCTTTGTTTTGTCCATGTCCATTCATCTTAAGATCTATCCGTTGAGAGACACTATTGAAATCATTGAGCATAGTGCTTAGGTCTTCCAGCGATGTGCCATAAGGACTATATCGCCGGTAAGTCGAAAATCCTTTCCAGTCCAGTAGCTTGAAAACGTCTTCCAATGCAGCGGTGAGGAGTTTCGGGGAAATAACGTTACTCTTTCTTACACCTCTTTTTGTTTCGTACTCTGGTTCTGTACTCGGATAGCCATCGGAGCCCTACTGTACAAATACTTCAGAACTTCGATATACCGACAGTCAACTTGGCACCTCTGAAGGGGCTGTAGCACCGCCCAAATTTCGACGGAATCAATGACTTTCTCATAGTTCACATATGCCAGGCAAAGTGGCAGGTTGGTCTCCTCAGTCTTCTGTACAATTTGCCGAAGGGTATGTATGAGGTTTATGGTACTAAAGCCTTTTCGGAAACCGGCTTGATCGGGAGGCTGGAAGAAGATGGTTCGTGATGACTTGAAAAAGGCGTGAAGACGCGGCTCAGAAGAGAAATCGCTATGTAGTTCTTAAAGAAAGCGTTGGCGCCTTTCTTGAAGAACAAGACCACCGCACTTTTGTTGCGCGCTTCCGGAATAGTTCCACCATTAAAGAGCTTTTGAAAGACTTCAAGTACTGGTTGTCCACCCACTTACAGAAGCTGCGCTGTGATTCCATCCTTGCCTGAGGTCTTGCCGTTCAAGTGTTGGAAAACCATTCTTATATCGCTCAGACTGATGTCCAGGACACCATCGGAATATGTCGGATAAGACTTGCTCTTGTATTGTTTCCAACACTTGTGTGTGATAACGATGACGTGTACAGCTGTCCATAGAACCTCTAAATCTCGCTCAAAATTTCAGATGTCCCGGGAACGATGCTGACAAATACGGGCCTTGGTTCCGCTCGATCGCTTCTTCAATACGAACTGTATTGATGTTGCGTGTCTCGCCGCATGCATTTGGAGATCTGTCTGTTCATTTGCCTGTATGCTGTCAAATCCGCTGAAGACTGCAGCTTCCCGTCTAACAGCCATGAGATTAGGGGTATTATCGGAGAGTTTTTGTGTTATTCTGAGACTCGTCTTACAGAACTCAGCTGCGACCGCATGGATAGTTCCCACGAGCTTATTATTCATATCGTCCACTGCATTGCAGTCTTCTAGGCACTGAAAACGGTTTATTGTCTCGAGCTGAAAGGTTTCGGGAATTTGGATTAGAGCACGAGGGGGATGGAGCGTTGACTTCATTAGAGACCCATCCAACTTAACATTTAGGGTCAGTTGCTTACAACCATGAGGTGATCGCTGCCAGTTTTCACCTTTGCGATCACTGAGACATCACTGAACAGTTGGCGTCTGGTAGTCATACTGAATACGTCATAATGAAGTCAATTTTATCATATATTGTCGAACCGTCCGGGCTCCACCTGGTCCACTTCCACTGGGACCGCTTCTGGAGGAAAGAGTTCATCATAAAGAGTCCCTTTTTCACCATGATGTCGGCCAGCAGCTAAGCCCTTGGTATTCGTTACCCTATTCCGAATTTCTCTACCTTCAGCTCACCATTCTCTCTTGTTTTGGAGGAATGCATGGAATAGAGATAACCTCATACATTCCCTCCACCGGTGCGTAAACTTGATGACCTTCAATGAATACCGTTTGGTGATTCTGAGTATGAGATACGCAACCCTCGTCGACACACACAGTCTTTACAACGTTGTTAACAAGACACTTGTGGACGATAAATCCGACACCTCCTTGGGACAGATGGTCGCTTTCCTGGTGACAGTACAAGTTGATGGATTCGAGAATCACCATGTCCTACCCTCTCTTCGGAGCTCAGATAATCCTATAATATCCCAGCGCAACTGGTCTCTTTCTTCTTCCAGCTCCAGGATCTTCTCGTCAGTTCTCAGGGTGCGTGCGTTGTATGTTGCCAGGTCGAGTAGTCTTAGGTGGCAACCGAACCTTCACCATGGTCGCCACTGTAGCCAGGAATAGCGGGGACGCCGGGGGCTAGGGGCCGTCTGTTCGTAACTCTCATCATGGGGGGTATATTACCATAGTTGCTACGTTTGGCGAGCGTGAGTTTTTTTATTGTTATTTTGCTGTTATCAGAAATATACTGCTGCCCATCTTCTTGAGTTTCCCTCCGTCACATCTTACGACACCTATGGGAAGATATGGGGTAGTAAAACAGAAACAGAAACTTTTTTATTCAATGTAGATTATAACAACACTTATGAAAGTCACTTTTTTCATTTACCACTGAATATTCTTAACCGCCGCTACACGACAATGCCAATTAGAAAATTAAAAACTGTCGTTGCCATGCTAATTGCCGAGCAATATCTTCCCTGTGAGGCAATTTGTACAGAGGCCATGTTTAGCAGTGGATTGCTCTGATAGGCTGTATTTAATTATTAAATGAACTACTTAAATCAAAGTTTAAAAGTGCTAAGAACAAGTTTCAATTCCATTCAAGTTTTTGTCACACTACGTTACTTTTCTAAAGGCTTTATAAAAACAAACTTCAAGTCAAAGCTTAATACTAAGATTCAGTTTTACTCAAACAGAATTTCTTTTGTAGCTGATGAGTGGAATATTTTGCTGCATTTTTATCACTTTCTTTCGCGTATATATAATGGAACGTTTAGATTATCGGACGAACAACTCGCCGAATAACTCGCTGAATGCAATGTGTTTACATATTCGTCTGTAAAACATAGATCTTTTAAACATGGATGTCGTTCATCTCGTTGCTACGACTTTGTGTTTACTTAACATTTACAGACCCATAAAAAAAGATTTCAATCGTTAGATCTATATGCCCTGATACCTAAAGTCTGTGGCACTGTGCTTGAATGTTGCGTTAACAAAATGCCGACGTGCGTTACTAAACTATTCCCGCCATAATTGTTTACGGCCATCGTTAGAAGATCCCTTGTAAACCGTGCCCTGTTGAAAAATGTTACTAATCAAAAATACAAAAGAATTGCGTACGGCCCGTACGTACAAATGTGCGAGTCCATCCGGAAATGCGGCGTGTACGGTGCGGACAATTCTGCGTTCAGCTTAAATGAGAAGGGTTAATGGTATTAAAGTATTAATAAGTTCACGAGGGGTTAACTGAATAATGAAAAGTATGTAAACACCGATACAAATACATACAAACAATCCTTTGATTCCGCTAAAAACCGACATCGACTGGAGGACAGGCGAGTACTTGGGTGGAGTAGCGAGCACACCCGAGCAAGTAGTTTACGTGTTTGTACTCGTGCCTATTCGTCCTTTTTATAGAATGAAGGTGACAAACGAGCACATAGTCCACCTGATGCGTAGTGGATGCTGTGGCCCGTAGACATTTACATTTATCCTCGATTAAGAATCAAAACACAGGTATGTTGTGACCACTCTGAGGACTAAGACGGAATGCCTCGTAACCAGTAAAAATGGTCTCCGGATCTTTACACTCACCATACGAAACACAGCAGTATTAAGCTGCTATTTTACGCTGATATTCTGTGAGAGCCTGGTCCTTCCCCGGTCGAGCCGACCCATTCGTGCTATAACTATAATATAGCTGCAGCGTGGCTCTACCACGTCTCTGCTAGGCGAGCATTTAAACGTTGCATGAGAGGCGTTTTCGATGAATACAACTTGTGTGACACGTGGTTTATGTTACCACTCGTTATATAACATATAATATATAATGCGTGAAATGCGCTATGCCTATTCCGAATGTCACGAGACGCTAATATATTATTGTTTATGCTACTAGACAACTATTTGAAATCTTCGAATCGTTGCCGTCTCTTTCGCTCGAGAAGATGAACCTCGTAACCAAGAATGCGATCAACATTTGCACGGCGGTCTATTTCACTTTGGGTTTCTTCGGCTACGTCGCGTTCAGCTCGCAGAAAATATCAGGTTAGTGAATCGTCCTTTAAATAATAGGCAAACACATATCGATCTTTTTATATGGCTTTGTTTGCTGGACCTAAACAAGAATTTACACTTACAATTGCAATACACTACCAAAATTCTTTGAACGATGTCATCAGAAGAAATCTTGACTCATGTTCTATCGGTTTTAGAGTCTTGTGCAATATTTAAGAGACGATGGCAAGAAACCCGACGGTATGACTTTGGTCTCTTGGGAGAGAGGTAAAGCCCTAGTGTGGGGATGCTACTTGCGTAGACACTTTAGCGGCCTCTCATTTCAGGGGTACCTCGTTTAGAACCGTGACGGCATCAGAGGCAGCTGAATTAAGTAAATGGCGCAAATGTGAGTCTCCGAGAGATGACTACATTTTTGTGCCATTTGCTGTAGAGACCATAGAATACTATAATGAATACATAATAGAACGGGGGAGTGGGCGGAGCCCGTGTAGCCACTAACATGTCAATTCACACCTATAAATGTCAACACATCTCTTTTGACGTTACAATCGTTTCCAATTTTCGTGTCAAGCGTCTCTGCATGCAAATTCTTTAGAAAATGCCAGATTGCACACTATTTACAAATAAATATGTATTAAAATTTAAACCATTTTTTAATGATGATTTTGAACATTAATCAAAAGTCTAAAATGTGTAAATTTACCCAGTTTGTCAACACAGCGAATTGAGTTTGTAGTAGTGATAATACGACGTAAAATTGCTTGTATATGTGCTCTCGGCGACGCCGATCCTTGTACAAAATAAGGTTGACAGCCATTCTATTGTGTATTCTGTGGTAGAGACTATCGGTCCGTGGGGTCCACGTGCGGTGAAGTTCCTAAAGGAACTCTATCTGTGACTGGTCGTTGCTGCTGGTGATAAGAGGGCTGGTTCTTTTCTCGCTCAAAGGCGAAATATAGCCATTCAGCGAGGAAACGCAGCCAGAGATACCACAGGATATTGGCACAATACCACGGGAAGTAGGACTGTATGATAATTAGTTTATTAGTTTTTTATCATAGTTTTTTTTAATATTGTACATATTTCAATGTTATGTAAAAAAGTAATAAAGTTATAACAAAAACATAATTATAGTAAATAATTTGATCGATGACGTTTAACATTATATTAGTAATCAAGGGGTATGTTCCGAAATACAACGCAGTGTACTGTCCAATGCAAATGACACTTTATTGTACTAGCGTTCCGCCGCCATTTTGTGTCGGATATCCGGCCATAATAAAACAATTTTTAATTGTGTGTTTGCCGAATGAAGCATGCCAGAATTTGTTTCTATTTATTCAAATACAAAAAATTATAGAATAATTGATGGTATATCCATTAGGAGGATATAATTATTTTTGGAGCACAAAATGACAAAATAATCGCCAACACTTTTCCAAATGGCGCAAAAGTATGACGTCATATACTGTCCAATGTTTTGGAACGAATCACCAGAATAGCGTCGATTCATGACGTCATTTGCATTGGACAGTACACTGCGTTGTATTTCGGAACATACCCTATGTATGTGACACTTGACAGCTGACGGTTCATTTCCTTCTATGTATGTAGGGGAAGGAGGACCGTTTTTGTGTGTGAAAAAGTGTCCGTCGAGAAGCGTCCAATTAGAGTGGCCCTTCGGTAGCAAGGGGACAAATTTTAAAGATTGCGCCAAAAATCATCTATCAAGATATAAAAGGGAAAAATTGTTAATGGAATAAATAATAATTCATATAAATTTATTTATCCCATATAAAGGTTTTGATTTTGGTCTAAAAAAAGACGGTGGCTGGGACATATCATTTTCTTTATTTTTTAAATTTCTCCCACTTGGACCAACTTTAAACGTTTGTCTATTGTTTTTAAAGCTTTACAACAGTATAGACATTAAAATCACGAAAGAGTATTATAAAAATCTTATAAAAATGAAATCAATCTATCCATTATCTGAGCACTTTCATAGATTATATTTACTAAATTGCTTTGAACTACGTAAATAGTTAATCTTTTACAAGCTGCAATATTCTACACTAGTTACCAGAGATTAAATTTTTCATCTCAGCACACCACTCCGTTTACAACTGCTAAATTCATATAATTTCCTCTTGTCACGCTAACGCTATTTTGGTGGGTTCCTGAACTGTAATTTGTTGCTTACAGCTGGACTCTTTTTCGACTTGTGCCCCACATAAGATGGTCGTCTTTACCTTTACTCTTCGTATTTCTATGGTTCAGTTTGTTCACATTTTTTTAATCTAAACTAGTGAGGCGCCATGTTGGAATTTGATTAACCCTTCAGCCCCCAAGCGGTCTCATGAGACCGCGGCCATATTCCGTCAAATCCCTAGCGGTCTTATGAGGTCGCACCCACCCACAGCACTTTAACCCATAAAAACTTACAAAAAGAGACTACTTTTCTATGAAGAAGTTTGGCATTATATAATCAATGAGAGATACTCTATCCTCTAGTGCAATAAAAGAAACTGTTATCCTATGAATATTTATTTATAATCTACGTTTATTTCGTACGCCATTTTCGCGCGAATGTTATTGTGTTGATTTTTTATTTTTCTAGTGTTTTAGTATAGTGTTTTATTATAAAATTGTAAGGATAGTTTTTGTGTGAATATAATTTATCTTTTTACGTAAATAATTTCGAGTAATATATATTGAAATAATTGTGAATTTCACGCTGCCGACATTCGCTTGGTATGTTTTCTTTTTGTTATCAAAATACAATCGTTTTTTGTAATGAAGTAAAACCTGACTGTTATATAGATAATTTTGTATAGATCTTATAATGCCAAACTTCTTCATAGAAAAGTAGTCTCCAAATATAAGTTTTAATGGTTTTAAGTGTTGCGGGTGGGTGCCGGCAAATCCCGAGCAGTCGCATGCGACTGCATGAGAATTTTAAGGGGCCTGAGGGGTTAAATTGATTATTAAATAATTTTGAACTACTGAAGTATATATGTACACGAAATATACGTATTTTTCTCGAATGCCATAATATTTTTCTGTGTTTTGAGATAGTTTACATAAACCTCGCCTGTTTTGAAGTATCTCATTTATTGATAACATGCCAATACAGCCTATCGTAAGCCCACTGCCGAACAAAAATTTCCCTCATAGAGACAATCTATATATATATATGATAGGGGGGATATTTGCTGAAGTTGCCGGGTTGACAATCGCTGTTTTTTATAGCTATTATCAGAAAGTTTCAAGGTTTCTTAGGACACCTTAATATCTTATACCCCCACTACATGGTTCTTTTACGACATAAGTGTTAGCGAAATATGATTTATTTTCTTAACTTTCAGGGAGTATTATTTATGATCTACATAATGTATCAAAAAATGTTCTACACTATTCTAAAAATGCTGCTAGATCTGTCTGCTCGTGAACAGAAGTGCAGTCACTCCTCTGTTCAAATAAGAGTATGCTACAAATTTTTCTCTAACTCTATGACTTACAAAATCTCGTGGGACGAGATGGATTTTAATGAAATCCCTTTCATTCAAATACGACAATTTTGTAATTAACTTATGAAGTCATATGGTTTAAAAAAATAATACGAGTATATTTGGTGCAGGAAACATTCTGATGAGCTTAAGCCCGACCTTCGCCAGTGACGTCATCAAGCTGGGCTTCGTTATGTCATTGGCGTTCAGTTTCCCGCTCATTATATTCCCTTGCAGGGCCAGCCTCTACTCATTCCTGTATAAAAAGGTAAGTGATTTTAAATTTATATGCTATTAGATATAGATTATATATTAGAGAACCACGGTACATCTGGATATAATTAAAAAGTAAAAGTAAAGTTACAGCCTATATACGTCCCACTGCTGGGCACAGGCGTCCCCTCTTTTCTAAGGAGGGTGTTTAGGGCTAGGAAGTGTCCACCGCGCTGCCCCAATGATTGTTGGCTAACTTCACATGTCTTCGAAATATTTTTTTTATTCCTCAGACATGCAGGTTTCCTAACGATGTTTTCCTTCACCGCCGAGCACGTGCATCAGCATCAGCATTTAAAATTGCAATTAACAATTTCATTGGTGCCGGCGGGGATCGAACCCGGGTTATTCGCGTTCTGTTATATTTACAGCGAGCGTTAACCATCTGAGCTACCACGGCTCACCTGAGCCGTGGTAGCTCAGATGGGTATAAGTGCTTGTCTGGAAATTTCATAGTATACGACAGAATCGAGTTCGATTCCCGCCTGCCAACATAATCTGAAATCCGCCAATTGACACATCGCATCGATGCAATGCTTCTGCCTCCCCTTCTAACCCCGTTTATCAGCATATTATAACAGTTACTTAAAATTATTTTTTGTCTGCCTATTATGGTTCCTTCGACTAGTTGGTTCTTCGAAATATTTACATTAATGTGCAATCGATTGCAAAATTTGTACTATTTCATAAACGCGACTATTGATCATGTGGTCCTGGTTTCGATTACCGGATCGGGCCCGAAATTAGTTATTGGGTTTTGTTGTAAAGAAATTCTCGGTAGCATACCGAAGAAGGCGGTATTCTACCCTCGTGACTCGGAAAGCACGTATAACCGTTGACCCTGCACCTCATCTCTCTCCGGTTGTGTCGTATTGTCGTTCCATTGTACTACAAGAGTGAGGTAATAAGAGTTAATGTGCATACATTTGTGAAATATATCCTGTGAAGATGGCTGGTCTTCGTTGATTGGCCACCGTGACCGAAATTCAAACAATACCTTATTGTTATTATTGGCACGTTAATATTTTCACAAATGCTGACTTGACTTTTGACTGTTGCGTAGGAGTAAATACCAAAAGGCATTAAGTCCGCATTTTTTAAGATGTTTTATAAAATAAAGTGTACAATTATCAAACCATCAATCATTTGCAGGTACACCCGGCTCACCATGACCACATAATTAACCATTCTATTCCTGCGACCACTTTCCGCTGCATTACAGTGGCCATCATCGCAGTCGCGCTCTTTATAAGCCTTTTGTTGCCCAACATTGAGCTAGTGTTGGGTCTAGTGGGCTCCACTATTGGGGTGTTGATATGCATTGTTTTTCCCACGACTATCTTCATCAATGTTACCTTCAAGAATACTAACGAGAGGATATTAGCGAAGGTTTGTATAAACTTTTATGATATATTGAGTTACTAAATAGTCTACTGTTTAACATAGTGAAGAGAATACAATATTTGACCAAGGGACTCACTCGGAGATCTTTTGAAAAAAATTAATATCTTAGCTGTTGCATCACAATTCATTGTGAATAATATTATTAATGTAAGAAACTATTTTAATACATTTGGCAAAATAAGAGTTGTTCAAATTTAATCATCAAATGTTAAGTAATACAGTAAAGTATAAGTAATGCAGTTTTAGATCAGGGGCTAAGAGCTTCCTGTGAACGCTAGCAACCCGAATTCGATCCCAATGAAATTATTTGTTGCAATTTACTTAGTTGCAATATGCTGATCCACCACGTGCTCGGCAGTGAAGGAAAACATCGTGATGAAACCTGCATGTCCTGCATATATATTGAAGACATGTGAAGTCGGTCGACACTCATTGAAGCAGCACGGTGAACGCTTCCTAAAATCCCCTCGAATCGAGGATATGCCTGTAGCCAGGAATTGGACGTACATTATGTACCATTAAGGGCCGATGTGTCAAACCTCAGATAAAATATACTTATATGGGATAAAATTATTGTACGGATTTTATCGCGTTTAATTTTGTGATGTTTCGGGCACTTTAAAAGTAACAACAAATAAAAATAGGTTTACAAACATGTGATTGAGATATGTCATTTCTATTCATGTTGATTGTATTCTATTCGCTTTAACGATTGTAGAAAGTAAACTTGGCTTAGCCGACAGTATTTTCTAAATTATACCTATTTCCTTTCTAGGTGGTATTAGTACTTGGGCTAATTATTCTCGTACTCGGCACTTACGCCAATTTGCAAGCGGCCGAGAGCAAATACGACGACAAGTATATCACGCAGGAGCGTATCGACAAAATGGTTGAGGACTTCTTCGAGAAACTGGACAAAAATGAAGGTATAAACAACGGTATTTAACTTTTATATATAAGATGATATATAAGCACACAGTTTCATCTAGTGATTAGTGAATGCTGTGGCCCATATATATACCTCGACTATGGAAAAACTAACTGCTTCCATAACCCGTTAATCGATGAAGAATGCAGTTGCGTAGTCGCCCTGAGAACAAAACTGATTCATCCATCACAGCATATCAAAGTCCACTGCTGAACATAGGCCTCCACTAAGATTGCCTCATAAGGGAGATATTTGCCATCGTTGCCACCCATAGCTGCCAGGTTTGCAACCGCAGTATTTTATATTAGTTTATACTAGATGTTAATAGGACCATCTTCCTAATAACAACTAGAATATAAAAACTGCAGAGTAGTAGTTCTTCTCTCCGGTTGGGAATATCAATATTCTCCTATAAAAAAATATAGTTAGGCATTTCTGCATGTAGGTAGAACTATCTTGTTACACATAGACGTAAAATATCCAGGCGAGCTACGAGATGCAAGAGTGCGAGAACTGATCCACTTAGCTGGCTATGTAGGATACTATTGTTATTTTGCTGATTATCCTTGTAACGGATTTTTAAAAGTGTTTTTATTCAAGAATTCTATAGCAAATGTTTAATCCTAAAAATTTAAACTAATATAAAATATAATATTGTTCTTAACCCGTAGACTCGATTAGCATACACATGTGTACCAAACATAAACATCGTACGCTCGCTCGATCAAGATACACATGTGTACCACAAGTACTACCCTTTGAAAAATAATTTTTTTAATTAAAACAAAACCAAAGACACTATGCAATAGATAATAGTATCAAAGACAAAGATATGCTCTTTTATTTTAAACCATAACCTGGCAATGTTTCTTAGAAAAAAAAAAAAGAAATCACTCTGAACTTCCGGCGTTCCACGTGTCACTTTGTTGAAGGGGCTCCATCTTTTTTATAGAATTTTATATTTGTGTCTGGACTAAAAACGAAAGTATTATACTTTTTTATATTCCTTGTAATATAGTAAACACGTAGATATGTAATTTGTGGTATAAAAAGTGAAAAGTAAATTGCCAAAAGTACTTCAAATTCCGGAAAGCCCGTTTTGGCAGGTGAGTTATAAATGTGTTATTTTTCAAATTCTCATTTATTTTTAGTGTAAAATGTAAGTAAAAATAGTTTTCGTATATATTTCAAATAACATGACGTTGTATTTATTTCAAATTCACACAAATATATTTTAGAAATATTGTTCGAAATGTCATACAGATAAAATATTTTTTTTTTTTTTAATTTTTATAATATTTTAATATTTTGGTATGAGTAACGAATGGAAACACATAAAACATAAAAATATACATGTTTCCAAACATTTTCATATAAATTTCTCCAAAAACAAAAGTGTAGAATTCAAATTAGTAGTAATTTTGGCACTAAAAGTGAAGTATATACTACTACTTATGCTATAAAGGGTAATTTATGAATTTTATTATAATTTCTAACAACCAAAATAATTTTATTCAATAGTTTATACATTCAACAAGAATTCCTGTAAGTTTTATCCATAAATATTGTCTCAAAGTGAAAATATAGCAAAATTTGCAATATAGCAAAAAATTTGCTAATTTGCAAATTTTCCCGCCAAAAAAGGTCGCGAGCGAACGGGAGTGTCATATTACGCGTGACCTCGCGAGCTAACAGGTTAAGAGCCCTTTTACATTTCGGCGTTACGCAAATTTAGGTATTTGACGCTCCGAGCGGGCGATGACCTACGCGAGTGGCACTTTATATCTTTTAAATCACTCGCACTACGGTACTGTGAGTATAGCGACTAAACGATCCTGATCTTCCATTATACAAGTTTTCTTAGGATGGAGTTCAGTGGATGGAAAATTTTTGGTGTCACTTTTATGTTATCTAATTAATTTATTATAATCTATTTGATATATTTTTCAATATTTATGAACATTAGTTTTGAAATAAAGACACATAAATATTTTAATTGTTTCACAGTAATCGATTGTTAAACGATGTTGGTTAATAATCAATTATATCTACTAACGGTAGCATAGTGGTATAAATTAATTAATAGTCAGTTGCAACCTGTTTTAATAAATAAAATAACCAACTGTAACTTATATTTTTTTAATCGGTACTTGCAGTCAATTACCATATTTTTATTAAAAAAAAATTGCCGCAACGGCATTGCGTATCTCGAGTCAATAATTTCAGGCGGAACACACTTTTTATAAAACGCTTGTAACTTGGCTAACACATATTCAAAAGAGATTTTTAGTATTTTTATTGCATAACCTGGGTCAGTCGATATGGCAAACATTCAGACATTTTTATTCTCCATCATTTTTTCTCCAGAGATAGGATATTTCTCTTTTTACGTTAAGTGACACATTGATACTTGTATTTATTTTTCCCCATTCGCATTGGTAAGAAAGCTCAGCTACAATCAAAATAACTATAATGACTTAACTATCTGGTATAATAATAATGTGCGAACTTTATACTAATTGAAATATACCGTACTTAAGTAAATATTTCTAACGATTAAAATTTACGGGCGTAGTTGAAGATGCTCTAGCACAAAATAGCAGCACCACGGCTAGGGTTGCCAGGTCTTAAGACCGAAAAAAGCCGAACAGACCAACGAGCTTAGCTGGACATTTCAGTAAAAAGGCCGGACACCCTTAATTTTTTAGTCTTAGTATAACATAAGAATTTAAAAAAAAGAAAACAATGCTTTTTATTATTTACCATAAAATATTCTCAAATTCTAATGGAATAACAATAAAATTGAATAAATCAGTCTTCTTTATGATTAATAAATTAATCATTCAATATTCATTAAAATATTAATTTAAATAATTGCAATATTATTTATGTAAGTACGTGAAAAAGACAATTTCTTTTTGTGTGGAGAATGGGATCACCACAAATTGTGGCGTAACTTAATAAAATGCATGTCGATATATTACTTATATCTCTAGATTACACTAGTAATATTCGTTTTATCGCATCTAACGGGTATACTGAGAAATTAACAATCAAACGGAAATCTCATTATAACCTACAACTTATATGTGTGACTGTCTAATAGTGGTGCAGTGTTAATAATAAAAAGTATAAAAAGTTGTAGGTTCTTCAAAATATTGTTGCGCGTTGACGTCTAGCACTAGCGCCATCTAGTGTCGGGTAACAGAGCGACGAGAGCTTTCCAGAAAATGACATGACTAATCTTTTAACCAACAGCCCCATCTAGTATCGAATTGAAGAACTAAGCTTTCTAGAAGCCTCATACTCGAACTTTCTGCGTCTGGTCACTCGCCATAAAGTGAATTAAAGTGTAAATTTTAGTAATTCAATCGGCAGTTTTTATTGTCACGAACCTCAAGCTCGTAACAATATTAAATAATAGGTGGATTCACAGAATAGAAAACAGTTCAAGAATAAACAGACTGCGGTGATTTATATGTAGGTATTGATACTTACTCGTAATTGTATTATTTATCATCATACCGGTTAGATTTTCATAAAATCTTAAGCCAATTTACTATAGTAAATTGGTATATTTTTTATGAGTTAAAACGATTGTATCCTTTAAAAAGCCTAACAAAAGCCAGACGAACCGGACACCGCCTAATTTGTCCGAACACGCAACCATAAAGCCTGACTGTGTCCGGCTTTATCTGGACGCCTGGCATAGCTAGCCACAGCCATCGACGCACACTACGATAATATCGAAACGAGACAGAGCGCGTGAAATAAATTGGTACACGTCCGACCCAGACGAGCGCTCACGCTGTATTGAGCGTAGGTGTGTAACTGTTTACGGAACCGACTCACTATTCCGAATCACTGAAGTGATACAAAAGAATGGTTCAGTAACAACGTTTCAAATCCATCATTTGGATCTGGAACGTTACTTTGCTCTCTGCTCATTTATTACAGCGCGTCTCTCTCGCAAAGCGACTGAACCGCGAGCGAGAGTGGCGAGTGAGCGGGCGAAATAATTACAATCTATACAAGTCAGAAAGAGATTAAAATAAGAAGTGTATTACTCAACTCGTAAGGATTTTGCTGTCGTTGTTCATGCACGTAAAAATGACCACTAAGGCGCTTACGTATCAAATACTATACGGTCGTTTTTTGCATATAATGTTTGCATTAACAAGTTGTTATTTTACGTTGATCCGGCATTTGTCAAATTGTTTATGTTCGTTCACGCCTGTTTACGAAAACATACTGAGTTCTGTTTGATTTCTTTGCGAAGTGATTAATGATTATTGTGACTAACTTTCTTCCTTTTCATCATAAATAAATAATACGCCAGCTGGCCATGAGGACTAGCCGCTAGTCCTAAGCCTGGATAAAGTATGAAGGAGGATCGATTTTATATACAACCTTATTACGGTACAAATTAAATAACAATAAAAATAACTATACATATGATATAATATAAAAATAACCTAAGCACTTGAAATCATTCAGCATTGTTGCCACATAACATTTCACTGAATCAGTCAGTATATAAATGCCCGCAACGCAACTTAATGTATTCGTAACATTCTGTATTTTATATCTTTTGAGTCGATGATCCAAATGAAACATATAGTGTTTCGGAACATTTCAGTGATCAAAATGCAAATGTTCCAATCGTAAAATTTGCCCAACTTCAATTAAACGCAGGAAGCCGGTGCAGTGAAATATATGGTACTTTTATTTAGTTAATTATAATAATAGTAACTATTTAAAAAGTAAAAATCATAGTAGAGTTTAAGGAAATGTGGATGATTATTTTGATATAAATTTTATGTCAAAATGATGTAGAACTTTGGAGATATTTGGGGCTTGTATTGTGAAGCTTTTTCGGTAGATAATTGAATTATGTAGATTTTTTCCGTTACGTGAAAGGCATATAACGAAAATGTATTTAATAATTATTAAAGTATAGGATATTTGTGAGATAAAAATATTTTTTTCAGTGGTCGA